TTCTTTCTCCACTGGCGTGGCAATTGAACACAGTGAAACCTGCATCTCAACGCTGATCTCACAATACAGTGGTAGCAACATTGCAACATTGCTTCTCCTGATACGAACTCAGTGAAAGTTCAACAATGGGATTTGAAGGGTCAGCAGGAGGAAATCACAAGATCGCTCCTCTACTGAATACCAGCCCGACTGGATCAGTAATATTATAAAGCTACAGCCTAAATGGGAACAGTAGGAAGTTGTGAGGCAGGTGGAGCCAGCGATAAAAGGTGGATCATTCTAGTAGGCTGTTGTATTAAAGTTTGGATAGAAACTGTACACTCCTCTAAAAGAATCATGATTCTTGCCATGTCTGAAGCGAATGGGTACGCAGGTGCGGCAGCATGGAAGTTTCTCCCCTCAAAACTACACGGAAAGGTAGCTTCAGGCTAGTGATACCATGGCCAACCACACCCCTGATCGTAGCCAACACGCTACTTTTCTGCACCCTCTCCTTCCTGATTTTTCTTTACCGCTGAGTTTGTTTTCCGCTGCGGGATCTCGGTATGCGCGCAGGTGCTGCACCTTGAGGGTAGCCGAGCGGAGTGTGAGCCGGCACCGAGAATCATCACTTTTTAGCCCAGTCCCCGAACGAAGAAAAATGGCACGCTATTGCAGCTGTAAACCAATTCACTTCCTACATGGAAACTACTGTCCTTAAAACTTGTGAATTTTTCTTTAACTGTCCCTTGCGGCGGAAACAAGCCATCGTAATAAGGAAAAGGAATGGTTTCTTCTTGCAAATGTTGCTTTGGGACATCCTGGTCTTTTTCGCACTTGCAAGGGCTACGAGCTTGTGAAAAAAAGAAGTAGAGGACTGATATGAGTTCGAGAAGTGAAGTGAAAGCGCTAGAAATGCTACATACTCTATCTATGTGCACGAATCTTTTCATAGTGGCAAATTTTAAAGCTACAAACCGATTGAATCACCAGTTAGGTAACCAAAATCATATTCACGTTTGGGCTGTCTGAGGACTCGGTTCTGCAGAAGACTTGATTCCACCCTTAAGTTCTAGAATCACTTCGTCAATATTCCTGGAGCGAGTTTCCGGCAGGTAGAGCAGAAGATAGAACATTGCCGCCAACCCAGGAATAACGAATAATGGTAGGAGGACAAGCGACCCTTAAAAGATAAAATTCGCAATGAGATTTGAACCACAGTTTGGGGCTTATAGCGAAAGAATAGAAACTGAAATCTCGTGGATCGTATGTCGCGTGCTCAATTAGAGCAGCATCCGCGCTGATCGTAATGGCGGGGTCTCTCAAACTATCTTAGTGGTGCGCTCCTTTTCGATATCTGAGAAGGATGGGCCAACCACTCATGGGAGGGCAACTTTTGAGTGAGAGCAATGGACCAACAACGATTTGTGGCAACTTGATCCGGTGCTTTTAGGCTGCGTTTATACTTTGCAGCAGCGTCCACCAGCGTCTACCAGCGTCCACTAGCGTTCCGAGCGTCGGCAGCGTCAGCGACTGGAAAGGTATAGATATCGATCTAGCGTCTGCCAGCGTCTACCAGTATCTGCATGCGTCTGCCAGCGTCTGCCAGCGTTCCGACGGGTAGGGGAAGTAGAGCAGGTGCGATGCCTAAGCGTCTGCAAGCGTCTTGCCAGCACCCACCTGCGTTCACACCAGCGACCGGGAGTAGAGAGTATGGGGAAGTAGGAGGGTAGCAAACAGCTGGATTAGGCGTCGTGAAATTGCGGCGTGTGCAACCGCACCGTACAACTACACTACACCGTACATTGAATTGCATAATTCTGTGCTTTAGCAGTTGTAGTTGCATTTGAACCTACAGCAGTATAGTCTAGCTGTTTGCCGGCCCCTCCTGCTTCCCCGTACTCTCTACACCGGTCACTGGTGAACGCTGGTGGACGATGACACGGTGGATGCAAGATCGATACCATATACTTCCCTAGCCCTGGAGACTCCGTTTGGCCCTGAGCTGGGAGACGACATGGCAGCTGGCAGACGCTGCTAGACGTTGGCAGATGCTAGATCGATATCCATACTTTCCCAGTCGCTGACGCTGCCCGGACGCCCGGAACGCTAGTGGTCGCTGGTGGACGCTGCCGCAAAGTATGAACGCAGCCTTACTGCGCCAAAGATGTGCTAATATGAGGCAGATTCCAAAAAAAATGTAACTTCTGGCTACGTGGATGGAGCTGAGGCGCTACGACGCTTCTTCTCCAGGCTATAGCTGTTTCTATAAAAATTATGGATTTCGGAAGTCTACACAATACCAGTAAAGCATGTATCTAACAAGGGAGATGAAGGGAGTAGAGGATGAAAAGTAATCATTCAGGAAAAAGAAGGGCAAGAAGGTTGGAGTTTGTTGCAAGTGCTAGCCCCTTGGACCGGCAAACGGTCACGACATTCCATTCATCATAATTCAGGGATTGAACCAAGGAGCAGGGTTACAGCATCGTTATGTGGGACCCGCAAATTCTTACGGTTTTCAAGGAAAGTCAGATGCAGGGCGCATCTCAAAAGAGGAGTGTGATCGTCGCCTGAGGATTTTTTGGTCTACTATTAATATGGTACGGACTCACCAACTTTATCGTACAGCGGTAGAGTGACGAAGCAAAGAATCAAAGCGATTGCTTGATTAGAAGAGAGTGCAAGCGATTGGCATAGAGCCCTGTACTGCAATGGCACCAGTTCCGCCGTAATGAACCACGATATTGGGCCCAGAGCAAAGCTAAAAGGAAGTAATTTTGAGGGTTCTGTTGTGTATGCGTACAATAGATTACCAACCTGTAGCTAATACCGTGCAGTACAACAGCAGCGATACAGCCATACTTACACGCATCCCATATATTCTGAAGCTGTGCACTGAGAACGAACAGCATAAGAGCTGACATGTTTAGAAAACCGCAAGAAAGCAGCAGGAGACGTCGTGGATAGTGCTCGACAGCTACCATACCAACAACTGTTGATATGCAACTGCAAACACTACTAAGTGTCAAAAGAATCTGTTCTTGAAGATACAATGCGCTCTGCGTATGGGCGGAGTCAGCCCTATCATTGTTCCTTTCTTGTTTGTGAGCCCCTCGTTTGTACGTTAGAGGGAAAAGGGGGGAAACCAGTGGAGAATACACAGTGATAGGAACTGGCACAACACAGCACGGCCTGCATGGCCTTGTCTTGAGCACGATTAGGAGCCGAAGGATTAAAGTTTTGCAGCCAAGCTTCATACTTAGCAACGAACTCGAAGAAACCTAAGGTTCTTCTGGCCCGAAAGTACCCGATTCGGGAGCCTCGCATTGGGCGCAGTGACAGTCCATATCTGAAGGCAGCCAGAGGCGTGACTTCGAGAGGGGCGGGGGTCTGGACGAAAGAGAGGCAGGTATGCATGTATAAGGGA